TTCACAAGTGCATCAAAGTGTTGAGCAAGGGGTGTGAGAGAAAAGAGAGCTTGGGGAGAGAATAGAGTTCTAAGGGGGTTTTTCTGTGTAAAACCAAAGTTGTAACTTATTCTTTCATGAAGTGAATTTCTCAAGGGGATCACCAAGAGGATGTAGGCAATTGCTGAACCTCTATAAATTCTTGTGTCACTTTGTGCTTGGTTGTTGTCTCAAGTGTGTGTGTGTGATTCATCCATCATTGTGTGTGTCACAAAGTCCATCAACAACAAGATCATTAGGGGAGTGAGTGAAAGTGTTTGTCCATTTTTTATAAGTCAATGATACATATAGTCTTATTTAAATGAAATGGCACCTTCCTCTATCTTATTTGTACGTGGAATATTATGGGAATGGATTAACTAGTTCTGTCTCATCATGACCAGAAAATCATGAACTCACGCCTGTGGTAAAGCAATAGTGGTATGACTATGCAGACACACAAATTAAAAAGGGTTGGATCAGTTCCTCTATAAGATTAGATTAAGACATATGCAAAATGCGAATTATATATATATATTGATGTGAGTGGCCGCCTAATTAATTAACATTAACATAACCATCGAAAACTCGAAAAGCTTCATCAAGTTAGGTATTGAGTTAGATTAGATCATCATATTCTTCAAATGAGCAAGAAAAAAAATTAAAAAAACGTGGACTAAGTAATGCAGATAACGATTAACGACCGTTTTACTTCTAATAGTGGATAATACGTAGCATTATTTTAAAGACGTTCATGGGCGGGCATAAAATATACAGTAAAACAGCACCCTATTTCAAATTAAGTAAATTAATTACACCATTATCCAGCCACTTAATCAAGGTTACAAGAATATCAGCCTTCAGGTGTCATATTTGATTGAGACATCACTTCGTTCAGGTGGTTGTTAATTTTAGTTATCGTTTTGATTAGATTTTAGTTAACTTTTCTCAGTGCGGTGATGCTGATGGGAGGGAGGAGTAAGAATTTGCGCTAGTGACATATAATCTCTAGAGAGCTGACATTTAGAGTATTCCAGTAATTAATTAAGCATAATACCCTTCTTCATTTGGATTAACAAAAAAACTTTAGGGAAAAGAAAGGGGGATGGAAGATGAGAGATAATGTTGTTAATTAGAGCACAAATCGTACACTAATTCGCATTATCCCTATGAGAATATATACTAATTAATTTTTGTTGTAAATTTTATTTCATTGATGAAATGAGTGGTGCCAAATTAAACTAAAATTAAAATTAATAGTGGCAGCAAAGTCCTTGTACAAAGTTGCTTTCGAAAGGAACACACGATGGTATATGGACAAAGAAAAGGATAATTGAGGTCTCCTGCCTCTGGCATGCGCGCCACACAAAGGAGCTACTTAGCTGAGGAAATCACCCAGAAAATTAATTAGGATTTGCAAGAGTCGTCTCTCTCCCACTTACTTTAAATTATCAATACATGGTCTTCGTCATCCCATTAAGATTCATTAGTCAAGTTAAGAATCAAGGCTCAATGACCACATACGCATCAAGATTAATTGGGGGTTAGTTGTTTTTTTAAGTATGAAAGGTACAATGTTGTCTTTTTTCTGTGGTCAGAACATAAATTAATGGGCCCATTTCAAATTCAAATGTTGTAGAAGAAGATGAATATGTTACAAATTCAAATGTATTCTCTTTCCAATCAAGAAATTTTAAAAAAAAATCTTTGTATTCTTATGTTACCTTTTTTTGGGGGGGGTAAGAAAATTCATCATAACTAAGCATGTGAAAGGGTTTCCCCACAACATGATTTCTCCACATTTCCAAGCGTTTGACAGTCCTTCAATTCAAGAGGTTTGACTTGTACATACATTTTCATGGGGTTTCTGCAAACAAGTTACCGAATGTGAATGCAAGGAGACGAAATTACTGACTCACTGCCATAACCAATTGACTTAACCCGAGAAAAACTCAAAAACAGTAATAAAATACATGATATGATGAGCAAAGCAAGAATATATGTGATGGGCGTGAATCGATGCATATATAAGTACGCGAACATATATTGAAGCACATATTATTATACAGCCAAGTTGCCCACGTGGGGTGTTTCAAAGATGATATTTTTATACAAGAACACAAGAGAAAGAAGGTCGACGTTATTGATTTAAGATTTCTAAACATCGAATAATTTGCAGAGCTCTCTGACACTGCAAGGTTGTCATCATTTGTATTTTAGCCATCGGCTCAAAACCCACCAGTTTCAAATTAACAATAACAATAATTTCGAAGAAAAAAAGAAAGAGAGAGAGAGAGAGAGCAAAATATAATTTCAAAGGGAAGAAGAAAAGCTATTAAGCTTTAAACAGAAGTTGTGCAATTGGTGCAGTTGCAGGTCCTGGGGACGAAAGCACAGACGCCAAAGGGCTTATTGGGAAGCTGGCAGTCGATGCCGAAGCAGCAGGGCATGGAGGTACACGTGGTGGCTGAGCAGCACTTGCACAGCAAGCACAGCTGGTACGGCGCCAGCCGCCGCCGCCGCTGCCGCCGTTGTATATCATCATGATCATGAGGAGGAGCTTTTAACACGTCGATCAATAGCCTATACTCCGTCGTACCGACGGGCTGCAATGTCCCGGCTGGTTGGTTTGGTATCGGCTGATACTCGTCTGCATGAGACCCTGCTGCTGCGCATCATGTATTTAACGGTGAATGATTGAATTGAAATTTGAAGAGTTTTGACCACCAAAAAAAAAAAATGAAAGTTGAAGAATATTTACAGAAAAATAAGTTACTTACCAGTTGCAGGAGTGATGGCTAATAGGGCGGTGAAGATTAGAAAAGGCACTAGTTTTATGGGATTTTTACTGTTTGTGAGGTCGTCCATGTCAACCAAGCAAACATGCAGACACAACAGTAGCTAGCCAGGGAGAGACCAGAGAGAGAGAGAGAGAGAGAGAGTGGTGGGCGAATAAATTTTTGTGTGGTGGAAAGCAGTGGAGATGAGAACGGTTTTTTTCTTTTCTATTTAGGGTCTCAGAGTGTATGGTACTATATAGCAGGACATTATGGAATCATCATCAAGATCCGACCCAATTGTTGTGGACAAGATTTTCTTTAGAAATTTTTGAAACAAGTAAACTTGGAGATAAGAAAATAAAATAAGGAGCTAATTGTTGAAGGTAAAGATCCTTGGTGTTCTAATACTGATTTTGATTTTTTACAATCGATATTGGGGGAAGGAGAAATGAACCCCACATCTCGGTCACTTAAGTTACAAACACTTGCATATAACACTTACTGTTAAGTTCCTAATTCTGTTGATTATTCAACTTAAGCACCAAGAAATATCCACATATAGGCAAACACTTGGAAATAAGAAAGTAACAAAATACGTAAATCAAAATCGTAAAACTAATTACTAAGAAATAGTACCTTTCTTATTAAGAAATTACACTTGATTTAGGATTAAGTTCCTAATATTGTTAATTATCAGAATTATGGACCAACTATGGCCATAATGACACATTGACACCTCCTCTTAGGAATTAAGGTGGGCTTGAGTTTTTACATTCAATTCTCAACAGATGCCTGCTCTGTTATTTCCCTCATTAGAAGGGGGGAAATCACACAGCGCGAGTTTAACACGGGGCTTTCCACATGCAACTTCCATAGCCGCAAGAGCATGACCAAACCTAAATACAAGCAGGTGTCAAACAGAAACGATGACAAAAGGTAGAGGAACACGGCAACCCTATGTATATGGAAAACAATGACATATGCATCCATAATTTAACAAGCAAATTCTGTCATTGCAAAAAAAGGTTGAGGGATAACGCATACAAAGTACAAACAAGTATACATATAGATGACATTCTCATCTAACTCTGCATGCTGCAGGACCTCCTGGCGAATAGTTTGGGTTGGGAGATCGACAAACAGCGCCTGGACCTACATTGTTAGGAAACCTGTGACGCATTCGATACTCAGGGATTCTGCTCATCGCAAATGGTCCACCTGTTGACGATTCACTTGGTTCGTTACAACTTTGTAGAGGCTCTAGAGTTTCTACTACATCACTCATTAAGGGCCTTGCTTTGGGGTTTTGGCTGAGACAATAGTATGCCAAGCTGCAGGCTTTCTGCGCTGCCCTAACTGAGTACTGATTATCCAGCCTAGGGTCAATTATTTGTAGCAACTTTCTCTTGTCGTTCAGTTTCGGCCGTGCCCAATCTACCAAGTTCTGCTCCTTGCTCGGTCTCGTCTTGTCAACAGATCTCCTTCCAGTCAAAAGCTCAAGGAGAACGACTCCAAAGCTGTATACATCACTCCTGGCAGTCAGGTGGCCTGCCCATTTCATAAGGATTTGATTCAGAAAAGCAGCACATAAGCACGTATACATGCAAATTAATATTCCTACACTATGTGAACAACAAAACTAGACACATGCACAGCAAATGTCAGCATTTCTTCATTTGTTCATACATACAATTTTGAAGAGAAAAAGAGGACCTTGGAGAAAAAAATTAATCAGTGAGTTACAGAACAGAGAAAACAGGGTAGTTGGGCATCGCAATACTCTCAAGTTCCAATCTGCAAGTCACTCGTCACTTCAATAATAAAATGCATTTGAAATCCAAAACCTTACAAGTCATGAACAAAACATCTAAAAGGGGGACTGTTCTATTCCTTACTTATTTAAGTTACCAATTAGAGTCGTTGCATGTGTACCATTTTTGTCTGTGTAGCTTAAGGTTTAGGATTCCAAGCTAAATGAAAAATGACTTAATACTTCTACACCTCATCCATAAGCTGATAACTCCTTAATGTAGCATTTATGAAAAGATTTGAACAGAATGTGTATTGAAGCTGCCAAGAATCCTTGAATTCAAGTCCAGATTTTATAGAAGGCAAGCATTTATGACAAGATTTTAACAGAAATTGCATTAGAGCTGTCAAGAATATATGAATTCAATTTCCAGTTGCTATAGAAGCCAAGCATTTATGAAAAGATTTAAACATAAATGCACTGCATCCAAGCATTCAGAATAGTGTAAACGTAGGTGTCATTCTCTGAAGCAGTGTTGAAACTCTATAACCATCAAGCACTATTGCTCATGTTCATCACAAGAAGAGCTACTCAATCTCTAGATCTCCCCTTCACCCAAGAGCCTGCTTTGGCATTACCATACCAGGTGCAGCCTTCCCCTTTTAAAACCAATTAATCTAAAAATCTTACTCGATCTGTCACTAGTGAAAGGACGAAAGACAATTTGAAAATATAAGCTTACAACATACTTCCATAGCAAGCAGAGAACTATGGCAGAACATTCTTCAAATGGTACCAATACCGGTGATACTTGTTGGCAATTTTTCTATAGGAAGCAGTCAGATTGTTTCCCACTTGACTAATTCAATTAGAAGACTCATGATGTTCAAGCTACTACATAAGCTCTAAATCAAGCATATCCAACATGTAAGAATGCCATACCAGTCATTACATATTCAGGGGCTGCATATCCGTAGGTACCCATAACCCGAGTTGATACATGGGTTTCATCCCCTTGGGGTCCAGCTTTAGCAAGCCCAAAATCAGAGAGCTTGGCAGCATAATCCTGCAAACCCATGCAACCAGTGAGACTAATAGCATCTTGCACGTCATCACAAAGTCAAAAAATTTAGCAGAGAAATTAACTTGTAGAATCTAAAAACTCAAGAAACGCCACTTACAGAGTCCAACAAGATATTAGAAGTCTTGAAGTCCCGGTAAATAACTGGCCTTTCAGCATTGTGAAGAAAAGCAAGTCCCTTGGCAGCTCCCAGAGCAATCATCATCCTCGTTCCCCACGACAATGGAACAGTTGCCTCTAAAATTCCCACCAAATTTAAATTAGCAACAACAACAACAACAAATCATGAAAACAATCCAAAATTTGTAAGATTATGAGCTCAATTACTCCGGAACAAGTGATTCTCAAGGCTCCCTCGAAACATGAACTCGTAAACAAGCAATCTGTGATCGTCCTCGCAACAATATCCAATCAATTTCACGAGATTGGGATGGCGGAGCTGACCGAGAAAGTTGACCTCCGTCAGCCATTCGCGGTGGCCCTGAAGGCCCTCCTTGTTGAGGACCTTGACGGCCACCGGCAGAGACTTGAGCCCAACCCTCACATTCTCGTCAATGTAGCCTTTGTAAACAGTCCCGAACCCACCTTCCCCCAAAATGTAGTCGGAGCGGAAGCTCTTGGTGATGGTCTCGAGCTCGAAGAGGGTGAAGGCGATGACGTGCGTGTACAGCACCGCATTCTTCCGCGCGTCCTCGAAGTTGCGTGGGGTTGAAGGATCGCTCAGATCTGAAATAGAACGGCTGTGAGTTTGCTTCTTCTCGCCGTTCTTCACTGACGAAGACAGAGTGCTTAGCTGCTGAACTGCTCAATCAAAAAGCTGCAAGCTTAGCTGAAAATCACAACACAAATATAGAAAGATCTGGATTCTGAGACCCGAACAAGCACGCACCTTGAGCATTCGTTACCACAGCTGATTCCTCCCTCGTCCCACAGTTTCCCATCTTGACTGAATTTGACTGTTACAAGCAGAAGCAGTAAGTGAAAGCCAAAGCTGGTGATGATGAAGTTGTGCTCCGACTCTGCTGGTGGTGCAGAGTTTCATTCTTCAGTGGCTTTTCTCCTCCACCTCTCAACTTTTTCCCAGCTTTTTATCTTCTTCCTCTCTCTTTCTCTCTCCCTCTCTCTCTCTCTCTCTCTCTCTCTTTCTCTCTCCCTCTCTCTCTCTCTCTCTCTCTCTCTTTCTCTCTCCCTCTCTCTCACTGTGCTTAGCACTTAATTAGTAAGTAATTAGTATTTAACTACGAGGAAGCAAAAGAAATAACGCTTTTAAGTACAAACAGTAGAGCATAAAAAGGTAAATAAAGTCCTAGTTTCCTTCTCCAAGTGGCACTTCTGCAAGGTTCAAACTTTAAAACCTGGCCTGCCCTCTTTCTCTCCTTAAACTCTGTGATGAGAGCTGTGATGGCGATGGACCTGCGGCTGTGGATCTTCTCCTCCCTCCTCTTTGCTGTTGTTACAGTCTGTGGGGACCACTTTTTACTTCCAATTATGTATCTCTCTCCTTATAATATTAGTACCAGATATATTTTATTTTTTTTGGCCAATTGGGGTAAAGATTTTTGGAAAGGCCCAAATTGAAAAGATTGGTTCTTGGGCCTCAAGAAAAGCCTAACCCACTACCCACTACCCACTTTTCCTATGGCCTTATCCAGAATCCATGGCTCAAAGATAAGAGATTTGGGAAAAGAAGAGGAGCAAAAGACTGTGTTTTGTATGGTTTGGGAATGGCGATGGCAATGGCGTTGGCAACGGCAACTGGAACAGTGGAAAGTGTTAGCAGCAGATGGAGCATGGCGTCTCTGAGGTCGGCGCTGCCTTCAACACCAGATAGGTGTACGGTTTCTGCATCTTCGTCTTCTTCACCATGCGGGCAACGGAGTCTGCGCCTCAGCGTCAGCCTCAACCAGTCTCTCCACAAACCCCAATTTGGGTCCTTCACTGGTCTATCTCCCCTCAATCCTCTGCTCTCGCTTGGCCTCTCCGGTATCACTCTTTTCTCCATCACTTCATTTGGTTGTTTTGTTAAATTTTCTGCTGTTGATGAATTAGAGGGGTATAAATGGAGGTGGAGGCAATTGGGTTCCAGTGTGGGAGTGAAATTATGCATCTTTGTGTGTTATTTCAGTAGAAGTTTGTACCTTTATATATCTGTGTATGTGTTCTGTTTTCATGACCTTCCAAAGTAACCTCTAGTGTTCTATTTTCATTTCAACTATATAATTCAGATGCAGTGTTCGAAAAATCGGCCTAGGCGGGTCTGGGTGCCTGGGTCTTTTTTTTTTAATTTTTTTTATTTCCTGACTTTAAAGAAAACCTCCTATCTCTCTCTCTCTCTCTTTCCCTCCCTCCCTCCCTCCCTCCCTCTCTCACGAGTCGACCGCCGCGACGACCCGTCGCCCACCCGCCGCGACCCGCGATTACTTTCATCCTGAGATTAATTGCTCTCACATTTATGCAAGAGTAACTTATATGTCATACATCTATGAGATATGTTTTTTCCATCATTTGATTTCTATGTCACTGACCTTGCAAAACCCTTAAGTTATTTTATCTATCTTCTTGCAGAGTATACAAGTTTTGAGCATAACTTCACCATTATTGATAATGGTGGCCGAATTTTGGCAATGAGACATGGCAGGAAAGTCCCTAAGCTCAACAGGCCTCCTGACCAACGAAAAGCACTTCTGCGAGGCCTCACTACTCAGCTCCTTAAACATGGCCGCATCAAGACCACTCGAGCAAGGGCAAGTGCAATGAGGAAGTATGTTGACAAAATGATCACACTGGCCAAGAATGGAACCCTTCATAAAAGGAGACAGGCACTGGGCTTCATCTATGAAAAGCAGATTGTCCATGCTTTGTTTGCAGAGGTACCAGACAGATATGGGGAAAGAAATGGTGGTTACACAAGAATTATTAGAACACTGCCAAGGCGAGGGGACAATGCACCCATGGCATACATTGAACTTGTGTAGGTCTGAAAAAATCATGTCAATTTTGAACTTGTGCGGGTCTGAGTTCGTGTCGATTCTAATTTAGACATTGGTTCCAAATCCTTTCCTTTTGTTCATCATGCTGGGATTGTATTGAATGAATAGTTAATGGCTTTAATTCTTAATCAGAGATGCATTGCAAGCCTATATTTGAGATTCGAATTTCTGTTCCTTTCCCATCATTGTGCTATAAAATTATAAATCATCCATCTCAAGATAATTTTTCCCTTCATCTACGATGATTCATTTACATTGTATTCCTATCACTTGGAATTTTGCATGTATAAATTTAGGCGTGCCTTCTCACGACTCTCTTAGCTTGAAAATATTTCTACAGAAGCTATATCTTGTGCACACGTCTACTTTGAGTATCAGAAATTTTTACAAAACATAGACCATTAGGGGTAGTGCTATTTTATATGAACTCTTCTTCCTGGATTAAACTAATGTTTACCAGTCTTTATGTTAACTAAATTAGATCAATTTTCCAAGTCAAAACTCTTTCTTTTACTTCTCTGGTTCATACCATTCAAAACTCTTTATTTGAACAATATGTTTATACTTTTGCTTGGTTAGAACTAGTAATCCATGGTGGAAAATTCTTTCCCCAATGCCAGGATTGGGATTGGAAGGGAAAAGAGAGTTTTTACAAAGTGCTTTCTGAAGATATATATATATATAGTGAACTATTTTACCTATCGAAAATAAAGGAAGTGCTTTTCAGCTAGTTTTGTATGCTCCCTGTTCCTATTTCCGCCTCTGGAAGAGTAAGTAAATATTTGTGCGTGTGGAAGACCACTTTTCTGCTTTTTGCTCAAAGTCTAGTTGCAGATGTTGACAGGGTGTGAAACACAATAGACACTTCACTCATATGAAACGGGATAGCATTATTTTGTTATCTTGATCAATAATATTATGTTATGCATGATAAATTTTTGACGTGACAGTGTGTGACTGGTTAAAACACACGTCTTGAGTTGTTTGCGGATGGCAATTTTGGTTGGGATGAAAAGTCATCACGTCCTTCCTCATTCTTGACAATCAATGGACTCAAGTGACTCTAAAAACGTGCTCATCTCCAATACGAAAGTTGAGAGACCTTTAGTCCCTCTCAGCGCATGAAAATCTGACTCTCTAAATTGCCTATTTGACTTGAGTTTTGCTGCACGTTGTGGTTTTCTCGTTTAGTCGGCCAACCCTTGGACCATATGAAACACGAGAGTCGGTGTGATATTTTCCCATGGCCGTTCATCATCTCTCTCCTTCATTCCTCTTCGACAGCACATAAAAATATATAAATACGTACAAAAGTATTTGTTTCATTATCATCCACTTATTACTATTCTTGTGAAAACATTTATAAACAAAACAAAACAACAATGTTAGGTTTTGACAAGTATAACCTCGGAATTGTTCTTGTTTGTGTTCTGTGTCTGGCCAAAATAGAAAACTCTAGAATTATGAGGAAGTCTTGCGAGCATTTATGATACATGACAATTGAATCTTTGGATGTAACAGCTAGTGAGATATAGGGATGGGTTGGGCGCTCTCATAAATTGGTCTTTGGTATACAGCTGAGGAGAGAGAATCGAACCATTGACGTAGTCTAATTCTAAATGTTTGTTTTCCGAATAGCTTACTTATACGTTACGATATATTCACACACTTTATATCCCACTCATCACATAACTTACGTAATGAGTAAAATTGAGAAAGTAGACATATTTTCGTGACAATGAAGTTTTACTCCACCACTCGAATTAGGTAATAAGTGAGGTAGAGAAAGCGCATATCCAGTGACAATGACATGGAGGTTTTACTTCACCACTAGGGTCATTCTACTTGTGCTACAATATAGTCCTATGATGTCCTGGTACAAATGCATTGAAAGCAAAAAGGCAGATTGTTTGGAACAGGAACACAAGGGCATACGTAGTTTGGTGGATTGATTCATGTTTGGGAATGGAATTTATAATTAATTTGAGATTTTGGAATAGAATTCAGAATTGATTCAGATTTAGGTAAAGTAAAGCAAAGAGTTGGTGGAAGTGGGGAATTTGGGGTCTTTTTACTCGGAGCCCATCACTACTCTCATGTGCAAGTCCCTCTCAGCGTGAAGCTGTCTTCTTTCTCCACCTCCTTTTTCACAATTTCAACTCCTTTATGCATTCTATCCAAATCCACGATATTCATATTCATTTTTGGTAGTAAAAAAAATCGCATAGAATTTGTAGTTCAAATGGTTAAAAGAATTTTGATATTGCACTCGAGATCCTAAGTTTTCTTCTTCCCCAATATCACGTATATAAAAGACTTTAAAAAAAAAATTCAATGAATTGCAAATTCCTCCTTTTAGTGATTACAACCCCCAGCTACCCACAATGCCAGAGAAAAGCCATGATTATAAACGCGGATTCTACTGTGGAATTTTGATCCCCCACAGCCACAAGTCTTTGTCTTCTGGTTGGAAATGGAATCCAATAATAAGCTGAGTTGTTCTTGTTGGGGCCTAGTTGTAACTTTCACCAAACGTATAAACTTTAATTTAAATGTTAGGTCTTTGGTGTCGGTCCAAAAAACTTTGCATGGGCGGCCCCCGTGCTTGTAAGTTTTTTTTCCCCCCTTTTAATGAATTATATTTTCCACGATTGGTTATGAGGAATTGGTGAGACATACTCACGTATAGCATTATATTATAATACGGCCAAAAACAAGAGAGAAAATTCAATTTTTAGTATAAACTCCCTACTTGCCTAATAAATTAGAAATACAGGACTAAATTACTTGCATGTTGTGGCAAGAAAATAGTTCATTAAGTGTGGAGGATGGTAACATCCTCTTGTCGTATGTTATCAAATTGTCGATAAATTATTAATGTTAATTATGTATTTAAACATTGTACGATTCAGCTTGAATTGACTCGTATCGGAGATTATAATGTTATGCATGGAAGAAAATAATAGGGAGGTATGGTAGGTTGCGGCCCTAACCCATTGGCTAGACGAAAGGTTATTTGGCTTGCAAGAACAGAAAAGAAGCCATCTGGAAGCATTTGATATTTTATTTTCCATATAATTTGGGGACCATCATTGGATATAGATGCTGAAATCAAATGGATGGAAACAAACCTAGCTATGACATAAACAAATTTGTCCATTCAATATCTGAATTTTCAAATATATCTTGTTCGTATAAATAATTTAATTCATAGAAAAAGTCAGATGTCTTCCACTTATTTAATGGCTCGGGGGAGTCGCACAAACCGCCCTAGCCAATGGGCATCGTTATCACTTTAATTACTTGCATCATTAGGAGAATTAAACATGATAATTTAAATAAACAAGCACAGGAAATATCTTTGGGGAAACAAATGACAGGCGTCTCTCCTTTCCACCACGAATTGGTCGATAACCACAAAATATAATTGATTTTTTTATACGACCCAAATAATTAAATAATTAAATAATTAAATCATTGAAATAATTTTTTATTGGCTTAGAAGTAAAGAATAAAGATAGCCCTCCCCCATCTAATTATGAAAAAAATATATTCCTTATCATGTTGCATCGTACGGTAGGAAGATCAGCCACCTCTCTCATCCTATCCGTGTATTTCCATTCGTATTTGTTTATTTTATTTTTGTTCATTTGGGTGACGTCACACGTTGGTGGCGCACTCGTGGTGTGACTTTTTATCCCAAAACGACGGTGCTTTTGATTGGGTGCGCCATCTTCGAGTTCAACGCTTATTTTACACTCCATTCGTTTTGGACCACGAAAACTCACCACACCCACATTTCCACCCCAAACCCCGAATCTAGTTTGTGTGTATATATATTTGCCCACTTGTCTCTTAAACTTATTCATTCAAAACACACCAAAAATAACAAAATTTTTACAACTCTTAAGTTTCTGAGCTCTGCTGCTACTGCTTGAAGCATCATAGATTTTTGCAAGGCCAGAAATGACAAAGGTGTACCCAAACGCTGCCAATGCCAAAATTGCCCCTGCCTACGAGCCTGAGAGGCTCAAGCTTTCTGGTTCCGACCAGGAAGATGCGACGGTGCTGACCGTGTGGAAGAAGTCTTTGCTGCTCAACTGCAACGGCTTCACCGTGTTCGACAACAAGGGCAACTTGGTCTTTAGGGTTGACAACTATTTGGCTGGTCACAAGGGTGAGATCGTCCTCATGGACGCCTGCGGCAAGCCTCTCCTCACCATCCGCCGCAAGGTATACTAAAATACAACGTTTTTACATGTGTTACGAGAAAAAAGAAACCAAAAAAATATGTATGCATAAATATTAGTATGTAAGTAATTTGTTCTTTCTTTGTTTGGTCGCTGATGATTATTTACTTTATTTGCTATATCAGCGGCTGAGCTTGGGGGACAACTGGGTGGTGTACGACGGAGAAACTGCGGTGAACCCGCTGTTCTGCGTGAGGAAGAACGTGAGCATCCTCAACAACAACAAGTGTTTGGCGCACGTGACCTCCGCCAACAATGGCAAAGGCGCGTCCAAAAATTACGACAACAAAAACGCGATGCTCTATCAGGTGGAAGGGTCGTACGGGCAGCGGTGCTGCGCGGTGTACGACAACAAGAGGAGGAGGGTGGCGGAGATCAAGAGGAAGGAGGCGGCCGTAGGAGGAGTTGCCCTCGGAGTCGACGTCTTCCGCCTCATCGTGCAGCCCGAGATCGACACGTCGATGGCCATGGCCTTCGTCATCTTGCTTGATCAGATGTACGGGACGTCGTCGTTTTCGCGGCGATCAATTTGATTGGTCAGTCACCAATTTGATTTCGTCAACCACCTTTTTCCCCTCGGTGGATTCAAATCACCCTTCTCTTCCTCTATAAATTCTCAATCCAATATTCTCTCTTTTTTTCGTTTCCTTTTTCTTTTTTAGGGTATGAGCATCGATCTTGTCGTGTCCCAGTCTTCCCCACGTGAACTCTTTTTTTTCTCTCTTTAAAAAAAAAATTCGGAAAAAATCAATGAAGCTCTTGGTTTTTTCCTTTTATATAAAAAACCAAGCTTCGAAGTGGGGATGTAAATATCATCTAGAAACCACACAGTTCTCTTTTCTTTTCTGGGTTCTCTCTGTATCTGATCCTCCGTTCCAGCGAGGTATTGTGGGTTTACGTTTTCCATTGTTAATAATTTTCAGCAGAAACATGTAATGATGTATGTAGAATGATTAATTTTCTGACTGTTTTTTTTTAATTTTTAAAAGAAGGAGTTTCTGACTTTCTATTATTCAAGAAATTAGCTTTTCGAGTTTTAGTCAGCTACATTGTATAAACCTATCATGCCATCACGTATCAAAATTAAATTGATATGATCAAATAGTTTTTACAGGAATATCTTGTTTCCTGTTTTATGTATTGAAAGTTTAACTTATTGGAATATCTTTCCGAAGATATTTAATTATAACATGGGATATATTCACACAGCAAAAACATTCATGAAGGTCAATTATGATTGATTGAACAATAACCAATGTGATATTTTGAGTTCGGTGGTACATCAATATCAACGCTGAAAGATAGTTTTAGGAATTTTCCTATGTGATAATATACTAAACTCACACACACTGCACATGTCTTATGACTCGAATCCAAGACCTTTTTGGCAACGATAAAAGATAGTTTTGATAATTAAAAAAACATATGATAATGAGACAGAACGAAATAGATAAGCTACATACGCTCTATACTCGAGTTCGATTTCCTCTTTCCGTACTTTAGATTAGATTAAAGTAGAATATCGCTTTTATAAAAAGAAAAAAAATCATGTTCAAAATTCAAATGATGCATTTTAAAAAAAAATATTTTTAATTATGTAGTTACGTCGGTAGTTAAATTTAATTAGGGAGTCAAATAATTTGACAAAGTTTAACTAAGTAAATGTTTGGTACGTTGGTTTGCCAATTTCATTACGAAGTTGTTAATCTTACCTAAATCATAACGTCCTATAATTGAGAGAGAGATCTATAATATCGTGAAGAAGAGAACCATGAGATCAGAGGAGCTCAGTGGAGCACATCCGTCGGATCCCCAAACTTGAAGCCTTATTAGGGCCTCCATTTTAAGCCCAATTTATATATATACGTTGCCCAATAAAAACGATATTTGTTCAACTCAAATGAAAGACTTCAGCCCAAACAAAAACAAAGCAGAACGCTTTTGAGTCGTGCTATGGTGAGAGTTCATACATGTACCGTAGATGTGGACTTTCATATTAGTCATAGGATTCATCTGGATAGTAACTTCACCTAAGTTTAATAAAATGATCTTGTGACTAATATAAAGGTTCACATGAGCGGTCTATATATGGGACCCTCACTATAGAATTTCACAAATGGTTTTTGCAAGCCAATGCAAATGGGCTTCTTAGAAGTGTATCAACCCAAGTGGTCATATTGGGCTTGGGCCCATCCCAAGGCCTAACTCGCATCGCAGCCTGTTTTTCTCTCCTTTTTCTTTACGTATGATATTTTCTTTTTCTTTTTTTTGTTTGTCAAACGAGAGACTTTCTGTCGGTATGTTTTTGACATCATAGTAAATTTGCTAAGTTTTTTTTATAATTTTTTTTATTTCTATAATTAGGAGTAAATTATTAAGGATATTATTTATGCTCTTTCAAATGAGATCATTAGATAGATGCACGCATCTCTCCTTAATGTCAAAGCATGCTCAATATGAGTCATTTCTTTAACTTATATGCAATCAAAATGATTAATTTTCTGACTGTTTTTTTTTTAATTTTTAAAAGAAGGAGTTTCTGACTTTCTATTATAGATTATTATAAATAAACCCAATCCTAGACATGTATTTATAAAAAAAACCCACGCACTATATAAACATAGAAACACACCCAAAATCAACCCCAAAATCAACAATTGTATGTTTTTTTGGTGTGTTTATAAATGAGTTTTGAGTGTGTGTAATGATGAGTTTTGGGTGTGTTTATAAAGTGTTTTGGGTGTTGGGTTTTTTTTATAATTTCAGCCCCCATTTTGGGTGTTTTAGTGAAACTCCCATTCTATTATTCAAGAAATTAGCTTTTCGAGTTTTAGTCAGCTACATTGTATAAACCTATCATGCCATCACGTATCAAAATTAACACAATTTCTTATTAAACAACATGCACGCATGTTCCATTGCTTCACTCACTCATTTACTTAAAAAAAATGTAATTCAAAATCCCGAAAACGACTTCAATATTATAAACACATATATATATTTTGAAGTTTAGGTGATCCATCAAGTCGTTTAATATCTTGAATTAAGTGAAGCAAAGGAGCATCAACAGGGCAAGGCAATAGTCGATATTTATATAAAAAAATTGAGGCACACACCTACACTTGAGAAACTATGTTCGTAAATATGGACTTAGCGAAGTTGGTTAGAACGGATGTACTCCCTACTCTATACCCGAGTTCGATTTCCTATTTCTATACTTTAGATTAGATTAAAGTAGAATATCGCTTTTATAAAAAGAAAAAAAATCATGTTCAAAATTCAAATGATGCATTTATAAAAAAAAAATATTTTTAATTATGTAGTTACGTCGGTAGTTAAATTTAATTAGGGAGTCAAATAATTTGACAAAGTTTAACTAATGAATTAGAAATTTGATTTGGAAGAGTATCTTCTGGAATATTCCATTCGGGGCAACGAAATTATTCGAACCGACTTTCTCCGGACGCTACCAGAAATCCCCAAAACGGTAGGTAGACATCTGTCGCCGCTTGGCGTTACTTTTTTGGTTAAAGATATCACGTGCATTAGCATGCCGCTGGTTTTGACGTCACGTGGTTTCTGCTTCGTCAAAGATAGACAGATTTCAATCCATACACGCCACGTGTAACTTTTGGATCGTGTGATGTTACTTTAATATCGTAGACCGGAAAAGCACTGGATTGAAAAACCCCTGCGCTTTGCCCCTACGCCAAGTGGTACCCTAAGAAGGAAAATAAAATAAAATTCCTACGGCGTCAGATTTGCGTTTAAGTCTAAACCGTGGGAAGAAAGCAGTTTGGTTATATATAGCGGGCTTTTGGAGCATTATAGTTGTTTCTGCCTTCTTTAACTCTTCTCTTCCGCACACCACATTGGTCTTCTGACTCTTGAGGTATGGCTTTTGGCTTCGATATTTTCACGACCCTTTGGATTTTTATTTGTCTTTTTTCTGTTTGTTTATGGATTTGTTTGAATTATCAGTATGTGACTGTCTGAGTGTGATTTGTTTGGCTTATAAAATTGGTGGGCAACTGGGTTTTGATTTGGGTTTTGTGTTTTTTGTGTGTGAAAGAAATAAGAAAAGAGAAAAATGGGGAGCTCAGGTTTTAATTGGAAATTGGCGGATCACCCAAAGCTGCCAAAGGGGAAGACCGTTGGGCTCATAGTTTTGGATGGCTGGGGCGAAGCCAATCCCGATCAGTACAACTGCATCCATGTCGCTGAGACCCCCGTCATGGATTCATTTAAGAAGGTATTTCCTGTTTCTTCAGATCTGAGTTTTGGAATTTGGGTTGCTATATGGTTTTGTTAAATCTTACTTATTCGTTGTTGAATGGAAGGATTTGATTCATATTGAGTGTGTGTATGTATGTTTGATGTTGTGACAGGGTGCTCCTGAAAGATGGAGGCTAGTGAGAGCTCATGGAACTGCTGTGGGCCTTCCCACAGAGGATGACATGGGCAACAGTGAAGTCGGCCACAACGCTCTCGGTGCCGGGCGTATTTTTGCCCAGGGGTGAGTGTCAGACTTGCCCTTCAATTTATTGTTCTGTCTGTTAGTTTTGATATATGTTTTGTTGGGTTTCTTGTCTTCATAGTTACTATATACGAATGATTAGAGTTTATGTGGTCACAAAATAATTATATTCGTTTTTGAATGAATATAGTGCAAAGCTTGTCGACAGTGCCCTTGAGACTGGGAAAATTTATGAAGGAGAAGGTTTCAAGTACATTAAGGAATCTTTTCCTACTAACACATTTCATCTCATTGGTTTATTGAGTGATGGTGGAGTCCATTCTCGGCTAGATCAACTGCTAGTGAGTTTTCTAGGCTCTGGGCTGTTTTTGCCTTTTCCTGGGTTTGGTTTTTCAAATTTCAGCTTTCCTCTTCTTTTATCTTATATTCTGTTCGTGTCTTTCTCTCTTGGTGTAGTTGTTGATTAAAGGAGCTAGTGAGCGCGGTGCTAAAAGGATCCGTGTTCATGTTCTCACTGACGGCCGTGATGTTTTGGATGGCTCAAGTGTGGGATTTGCGGAAACACTTGAAAATTACCTTGCACAATTGCGTGAGACAGGTGTGGATGCACAAATTGCATCTGGTGGTGGTCGCATGTACGTCACCATGGATCGTTATGAGGTATATTGAGTAGAGTGAACTCTTAAAGGTCTTTCCAAATGCATGATGGTTACATTTTTTTTTTGAAGTTTTGCCCATTGTGTGTATTTTTACGGATTACTGTATGTTTAGAAGACATTTCTTTTAACCAAAATGGTTGTGCATAGATAAGAACTTATTCATAAGTTGGAACTTGGGATGTGAATAATTGAAATGTTGTGAATTTCATGATCTGCATCCCAATGCTTATGGAATTCTGCCCCTATTTTATGTATGTAAGAAGGGGGTTTGTTAATGTTTTCATTTGCTTGTTTTATATGTGTTTCCAGAATTATTAGGGTGTCTTCAGTAAAATGTTCATACGTACTTTGTATTTCCCCATATTTAGTTTAAGGTTGTCCTCAGTTAACTGTGGATCATCTCTGTTTACTTGACCCCTGAATTCTTCCATTTATTATCAAATTGTTAATTTATATGGATGATTGGTATTTTGTAGAATGACTGGGGAGTTGTAAAACGAGGATGGGATGCCCAGGTTCTAGGTGAAGCTCCCCACAAATTTAGGAATGCTGTTGAAGCTATCAAGACGTTGAGACAGGAACCAAACACCAGTGACCAGTATCTACCTCCTTTCGTTATTGTTGATGAGAATGGAAAGCCTGTGGGCCCAATAGTGGATGGTGATGCTGTTGTTACATTCAACTTCCGCGCAGACCGTATGGTTATGATTGCCAAGGCGCTCGAGTATGCTGATTTTGACAAATTTGATAGAGTTCGATTCCCTAAAATCCGTTATGCTGGGATGCTGCAGTATGATGGTGAGCTGAAGCTTCCAAACAAATACCTTGTAGAACCTCCAGAGATAGACAGAACATCTGGTGAATATCTAACGTACAATGGTGTCCGTACTTTTGCCTGCAGGTGAGTTTTTGTTATGAAGTTAATTATCTGTAGCATTTGTTACCCAGTTAATTATCTGTGTTGCTGTCAAGCGCTAGGTTTATTTTCTCAAAATCATTATGAACCTATTTTTTAGGATTTTTCCCCTTTCCATGTAAAGGTGTCCGTATTGTGTCCAAATCATTATCTGTGTTGCTGTCGTGTGCTAGGATTCTGTTTTCTCCGAACCATTATGAATCTATACTTTAGTACTTTTCCCCCTCCCATGTAACAGTGTCTGTGTTTTCTCATATTTATTGGGATAATGCCATTTTGACTTCGGGTCAGGGAAATTTAGATATGGGAAGGAAGTGACTTTCAATGTGTTTCTTTGTGTTTGTCAATTTGTCTTTTCCAAAACAGTTTTCGACGCTATGCCAAATCTGGGGTGGGGAGAATAATTGATTTTGACCAATATGCTCATATCAGAATTTTCTTTTCATGTTTGAATTTTAGGCTTCCTACTCTCATGACCCTTTTCTTTCCTTCCAAATCTTTGAATGTGCAGCGAGACTGTTAAATTTGGCCATGTCACTTTCTTCTGGAATGGGAATCGTTCTGGGTATTTTAACCCTCAAATGGAGGAGTATGTGGAAATTCCAAGTGATAGTGGAATCACATTCAACGTCCAGCCAAAAATGAAGGCAGTGGAGATTGCCGAAAAGGCGAGGGATGCTATTCTTAGTAAGAAATTTGAGCAGGTAATAAATAGACCGATCATGTGATATCTAAGAATCTATATTAGATTTTTATTATCTTAAAAAAACAAAAAAACAAAAAACAAAAAAAAAACATGTTTCAGATTTAAACAATATGGTTTGTTTTTCTTTAGGTACGTGTTAACCTACCAAATAGTGACATGGTGGGGCATACCGGTGACATTGAGGCCACAGTTGTTGCTTGCAAGGCTGCTGATGAAGCTGTCAAGGTATGGTGGCTATAGCTTTTTGTAAGAGTTTGAACTCAAATTTGAACGAAAAGGAATTATGAAATAAGGATACTATATCCAATGCTTTGCATTTATATCGAGTTAAAAATGAAAAGAAATGTTTGATTTCTCTACAAGATCGTTACTTGTAAAAGCTAGTTATTGCTGTATCCCATGCTTTGCATTTATATAGAGTTAAAAATGAAAAGAAATGTTTGATTTCTCTACAAGATCGTTACTTGTAAAAGCTAGTTATTGCTGTATCCCCAAATTCTTTCTTGAACTGTTCCCGAACCACCTTGACTGTCTGTAAAGGGTTTACGTCTCCTTACTGTAGATGCTATTGTCTGATTGCAGATAATTATTGATGCAATAGAGCAAGTGGGTGGAATTTATGTCGTTACTGCAGATCACGGTAACGCTGAGGATATGGTGAAGAGAAACAAGAAAGGGCAACCTCTTCTTGACAAGAATGGCAACATTCAAATTCTTACCTCCCACACTCTTCAGCCAGTAAGTTCTCTGAATACCTTTTACATATTTATAACAAATGCATAGTCCTTTGGTGCATTTGATCATTCAGAATCATCAAAATTGAACACTGTTAACTTCCACGGGTTCTCCTTGATTGATTGTCTTGGTTTTTCTTTATTAAGGTTCCAATTGCAATTGGTGGTCCTGGACTGGCACCTGGCGTTCAGTTCCGCAAGGATGTTCCCAATGGCGGGCTGGCCAATGTCGCTGCAACCGTGATGAATCTGCATGGATTTGAGGCTCCTGCCGACTATGAGACGACACTCATTGAAGTTGTTGATAACTAGGCAGCATGATAGAGGAGATGGTTGAATCTAGTATTTCCTAAATTTTGACTTAGGTTACAATGTCATCCAATGAGGCTGTCGATTTCAGTTGCTTTTACAGCTTAGATATTTTGTTAAATAAGTTATAAAACAATGCATGCTCACAGCAGTAGCTGTGTGCTATGGTAATTGGATCACTGTCTCCGGAGAAGGACAGGACAAGAAAGATGAAAATGGATTTTTGCTATTTCATGCTTTTATCAATTATCGTGGCGGTGTTTATAATAACGTTTCTTGGATTGAAGTTTTAATTCCCAGATGAATAATTTGTCATCCTTCGTTCTAAATTGTCTATTTCTTTTTTAACAGATGGAGTTTGAGAAAATCTTAATTAATAGTAGGGAGATTCACAATTATACCCGATATAAGAGTTCAAATTATAAAAAAACTCTATATGAAATGGACTTTAGAAATACATTCAAAGTCCATTTACAATATATCAAAAAGGCTTTTAATTTTTTTTAAATTATAAAATTTTCATTGATTTCTTAAAACAAACAGCTGTTATTTTTTGAGTTTATTTATAGAAATTAAATTGTGTAGGGTTTATTTATAGTTTTAATGCTAATAATGAGTATATGAGTAAATATCTCTTAATGGTAATGACGTTGATATGAGGACTAAATTATCAGCGTAATATAACAGGGTCTTAAAGTTGATTGTTTTTGTACAACATTGTCATTCATCCGATTCCTTTTGAACTCGTAAACTCGGCTCCTCTAACAAAAGTGGAGATTAGTGAGTTTTTGCTAATTTAATTTGAATTCAAGTTGATATTGTGGGTTTTACTTTAGCTTTGATATACAATTATTATGTCGCTTGTCATATCATTTGGTGATCAAATTTAGTAATATCAAATAGGTAAATAATAAATAAAACACCAAAGTATCAATTCCGAGTTAAAAATGTAAGATTTTTTCTTTTTATACAGAAAATAGACAGGCACACAGAAATATTTTCGATTAAGAAATGTACAAGTATCTCTTCGTTGTGATTTTCCGATCACATAAAATGGAAACAAATATATTGGAAAGCGAGACGGGTAGGAGGGCAAGTGAATTCAAATTTGGAACGTGAACGCAAGCGCGGGACACGTGCTGCCCTCTCCTTCCCGTTCCGTTGGGCAGCACCTATGCGCTCCTTCCGCCTCCTCCGCCTTTAAATTTAAAAATCCAACCACAAGAGAGAGAGTGGACGGTTCGATCCAGAAGAAGAGGGAGACCAGAAATTCAAAAATTCTAGGGTTTTAATTTGACATCTCATAAATGGAGAAATACGAGAAGCTGGAGAAGGTAGGAGAAGGCACGTACGGCAAGGTCTACAAGGCCAAGGACAAGGCCACAGGCCAATTGGTCGCGCTGAAGAAGACGCGTCTGGAGATGGACGAAGAAGGCGTCCCTCCCACCGCGCTCCGTGAGGTCTCTCTTCTGCAAATGCTCTCTCAGTCGCTCTACATCGTACGGCTTATCTGCGTTGAGCACGTCGACAGCAAGGAAGGCAAGCCCGTCCTCTACCTCGTCTTCGAGTACCTCGACACCGATCTCAAGAAGTTCATCGATTCTCACCGGAAAGGTCCTAGTCCGAGGCCCTTGGCGCCGTCGATGGTCCAGAGCTTCCTCTACCAACTGTGCAAGGGGGTGGCCCACTGTCACTCCCATGGCGTCCTCCACCGCGATCTGAAGCCCCAGAATCTGCTTCTGGACAAGGAAAGAGGGATTTTGAAGATCGCCGATCTTGGACTCGGCCGCGCTTTCACTGTACCTCTCAAGAGTTACACGCACGAGATTGTTACTCTCTGGTACAGAGCACCGGAAGTTCTGCTTGGTTCGACTCACTACTCCACCGGCGTGGACATGTGGTCCGTCGGATGTATCTTCGGTACTCAATTCTTACTCATTCTCACGATTTCTCAATTTCTTTTGGATTTAATGCTTCAATTAGTAACTAATTAACTATTTAATTTGATTGATTATGCTTCTATTTGATTCTTGAATTGCAGCCGAGATGGTGAGGAGGCAGGCTCTGTTCCCAGGAGACTCTGAGTTCCAGCAGCTGCTTCACATTTTCAGGTGCTTATTTTATTTCCCCGCTCAATTTCGCATTTTGATTTGTACTTATTTTCTGGGACTGCGGAAACGGAAAAGCAAAAATTTTACTTGCTAGTATTACTATATATGCGTAGGCTGCTAGGAACACCAACAGACAAGCAGTGGCCAGGAGTTAGTGCTCTGCGAGATTGGCATGTGTATCCACAGTGGGAGCCTCAAAACTTGGCTCGTGCTGTTCCTGCTTTGGGGCCTGATGGAGTTGATCTCCTAGAAGTAAGTTTTTTTCGAGTGCTTAAAGCTGCAATTAACTTGTCTTCTGAACAGTGTTCTTCAACCCTATAACTGTTTGGTATGTGATTCATATTTGCCATTTAGGAATTTGGCATTTTTTGCCATGTGCAAATATGTACATGATTTGAAAAACGTAGTTCATTTGTTTGCCAAATTCCATGTGGGCTTATATACGGTGATCTATTCATTTTGCTTGCCAATACATATCTCTTCGTTGTGTTTTTTCTTGGTCCATCTATTCATCATATAAGTATCTTGTAATACCCAGTCTGTTTTTTTCTTCAAGAAGACAGTCTCCATGGTTATTTTCAGTTTGCAATATTGGTTCGGATTTTAGGGTTTGTTGTGTCATGGTTATTTGGAATAGTAACATAATAGGCCTGACTGTTGAGTGCCTGCCAAGTTTGAAAGCAGAACCATTACAATGTAGTCATGTGATGAATGAGCAGAACCTGTTTTAGCAAATGTGTTGACATTGGATAAGTACAAGTTTATCAGTTGATATTAGATTGGTGCTGGCTGTTTTATTAGTACTTGTAATTGCCTCTTTATTACTCTGGTTATTCTAAGAGTGCCTTGATTTTGGTCTCTGTAGAAAATGCTTAAATATGATCCAGCCGAGAGAATCTCAGCCAAAGCCGCTCTTGACCATCCCTATTTCGACAGCCTTGACAAGTCTCAATTCTGAAGTTTTTCACTTGTGAACACAAAGATGCTATGAATGAAGTGCTTTCTCCCGGAAGGAATATGGCATTTTCTAGGAAGTGATGAATTTAGGGCTGCCTGTCATCATCTTGGTGATTTCAAAGCCTCCTATTATTATGCTTTCCATCTTTGTATATCACAATATGATTATTATCCTTGTTAGACAACTTATCATTCGAAGTATGGTTTTATAATATTCAGCTTCTTTGTTGGATCATGAATCAGTAGAAGGAAGTGTCGTGTGTTATGTGCTTGTTGTTAGCCATGTGATTTGATTAATTGCTTCTGGTCTATCTGAAACATGGGTTCTTCTCCATCTACAAAATATGATTTGATGTTTTGCATGATTTGGCCAGGCATTATAATTTATACCCACAATTGATAAGATATAACGAACCTACCAGATTATGAGTAAATCATTTATAGCATATAACTATCCCCTTTTACGTGGAGCAGCCCATCTAAGTCGGGGAAATGGTGGGTTGCTTGTTTCTTTTTCTAATTAGTTGGCAAAGGTTGTGAACCTCTCAACATCACAACCATAAATAAAAAAAAGGGTTCATGTCACAACCCACAAACCCAAAAAAGAACAAGTTCGCATCCTCTGACCTCCTTTGATTAAAAATACAAAATCATTAATAATAAAATCCCACCAAATATAACTCTCTCCACCGATTCTTTTGCAATCTCTCTCTCTCTCTCTCTCTCTCTCTCTCTCTCTCTCTCTCTCTCTCTCTCTCTCTTCCTATACTTTGTTTTTCTGATCATTCTTTCTATCTCCATTGTGATCAGGTTCTGTGTGGGGTTTTTTTTTCCTTTTCTTTAACATTAATAAACAAGTTATACATATAATTCTAGTTTAGGTGTTATAGGATCAATCATAAAAACAAATAGAACAAAAGATAGGAGTTGGATAGGGAAGGTGGGGGAATGGAAGGATTAGATGGGCTGATAGAGCGACTGTTGGAAGCAAGGATCAACAGAGGTAAAAGGATTCAGCTAATCGAATCCGAAATCCGACAACTTTGCATAACTGCAAAAGAAGTCTTTCTCAGGCAGCCTAATCTTCTTGAGTTGGAAGCTCCCATCAATGTTTGCGGTACGTAAAATTTCAATTAGTATGTAAATTCCAATTCCCTGTATGTTCATATCAGCATTTGCAATAATTAAAATCTCATAAGAGAGTCTTTTTATGTACATCATTGTCCAAAACCAAAAAAATTTACTTGAATTGGGTGGCTCCAATGAAAACAGAGCATAATTCATCTTGTTATGGCTATTTCTTCTATGTTCTATGTTATGGAAGCAATGAGATCATATTGTTTGGGGGTTGCAGGTGATATACATGGGCAATATCCAGACCTCTTGCGACTGTTTGAGTATGGCGGATTTCCACCAGATGCCAACTACGTGTTCCTTGGAGACTACGTAGACAGAGGAAAACAGAGCATAGAGACAATATGCCTCCTCCTTGCATACAAAGTCAAGTTCCCTGATAACTTCTTCCTCCTCCGAGGGAACCATGAGTGTGCTTCCATCAACAGAATCTATGGATTCTATGATGAGTGTAAACGCCGCTTCAGCGTCCGGCTATGGAAGATTTTCACCGACTCCTTTAACTGTTTGCCAGTGGCTGCAGTCATCGATGACAAGATCTTCTGCATGCATGGCGGCCTTTCTCCTGAGCTGAACAACTTGGAGCAACTCAGAGCCATTCAAAGGCCGATTGATGTGCCCGACCAAGGGCTCTTGTGTGACCTACTTTGGTCGGATCCAGATAGGGACATTAAAGGGTGGGGTGAGAATGATAGGGGTGTTTCTTACACCTTTGGGGCAGATAAGGTGGCAGAGTTCTTGATGAAACATGATATGGATCTCATATGTCGGGCTCACCAGGTCTCTATCTTTTTCTTATCTTGTTTTAATCACGTAATTAGAGAGATACACATAATCGTATACAAGCGGTGATAGGAAAGAAAGTTTCAAGCATGCACCACATAACATTTACCGTCCACGTTTAGTACATGTGAAAATACCTATTTGCTAATGTGATCTTCGACCTTCGGCTAAATAGTTTTCTCTCCTTGGTTGACAGGTTGTTGAAGATGGTTACGAATTCTTCGCAGACAGGCAGTTGGTTACCATATTCTCTGCACCAAACTATTGTGGAGAGTTCAACAATGCAGGTGCCTTGATGAATGTGGATTCTAGTTTGCTCTGCTCATTTCAGATAGTCAAACCCTGGAGAGGGAAAGCTCCCCAGCTAGAATAATTTTATAAAGAAACGGGGAGTAAAGAGTTGACATTTAAAAGAATGGAGAAAGCATGCATGAACCATGGTGGAAGAAATGCAAATTTGTATTTCAGCTACACATTTGTTTTGTATAAAGTCAGCGTCATATGCCATTGTTTTCTCCAGCTGCATATAATTCCTGTAACCAAAGCATTAAAAAGCTGTCTGTGTATATAAACCCTCATATTCATGAACACAAATGCCTTATATTCTCATAACAAGTAGTTCCTTTTTAACTTTCTGGTGTTTAGCTTAATCTTTTTTGTTGTTCCCCTTCTTTTTTCTTTTTTTTTTCTTTTTTTCTTTTTTCTGGATGTGTTTGTGTTTTCTTTAAGCTCATTTGTAAAATCAACTTTACGGGGGCAGTTCAGAAAGAATGCCGACAAGGCAATCACCGTCGAGTAGGAAGAATGCTGACAAGGTTAGCGCCGTTGAGTAGGTCCGTCAACTTTGGCATTGTTGCTGAAATGCCTCATTCTCCAAGTTTTCGGCATCTTCATTTGTCCTCCTTAATCAAACAAAGAAAAAATTCAATAACAACTACGCGTATGCGTACTTTGCAAGTTGAAGTAAATATGATCGTTACATGGATACTTGTTTTTTGCTTTTTGAAAGCGATGGCCATTCGCCTTCTGTTTTACTCCAGACTTTACTTTTTATGCAAGCCTCCTTCCCTTCGTTGAGATGAGAAAGGTAAAGTGGAGAGGTGGAGCAATCGAGTGGGATTTTTGACTCATAAACACACCATTAGAGGAGGGTTTAAATTTTGAATCAGAGTTTGACGTGACACCTATTTAGCATAATAAGGGTATTATTGACATTTTGGGCGTCAGTCAACAATCCATAAAAGTACATTTTCGTAATTGAGATTCTAAAAAATCTTTATATGGATAATGGGAAGCAAAATTTAGAAAGCCTGCCTATATTCCCCAAAAAATTAAGCTCTACAGAAGGCTACATTAACAATTTCAAAAATCATACTATGATACAATGCAAGAGCACTTCCAGGTCATCTAATGATACAACGCACTCGTAATATCCCATATGCACGAAGGCTTGCCAAAATAAACTCTTTCTCTAAGAGCAGCTTCCAAAACAAAGTAATGATCTCAACTTCAGTTAGACCACACATGAACAAGACCATGCCTATTTCCAGTATATATCTCATTGCGCTCTTCATCGTAGAAAAGAGCAGTTATGTCTTCCAAAGCCTCAGCAACGGTATTTCTCACCAGAGATGAGTTGCTTCGCTTGCTTGAGGAGCCAGCACTGCTGTCACACTCGTCAACCTTGGGACCGCCATTGCCTGCATTTATTTTGGCCAGGCATTTCCCGGTTAAGATATTGCTGACATGAATAGATCCAGCTGCAAAAGAAAAAATATATATTATATGCAAAATAATATCCTCCACTATTTTCTAGAGTTACTAATCTCTTGCTGTATAGAGAGATTGGAACATGCAAATGAAATACCATTTGCTTCCATCCAATGGTCATCCGAATCAGCCTTGCAGTAAGATATGATAAGATCCTGATCACTTGTTATATAAATGTTATTGGTATTGCAGTCAGGATGCCACAACAAGTGATCCTCAAACGAAGTCACAAGTTCTCCACGAAAGTTCCAGACAGCCACGTTTCGATTTCTGAATGTCAGGAATAGCTGGTTCTCATAAAGAAAGATAAATGCTGATGGAGTCATGAACTCAGTTCTGCTAACTTCCATCAGCTCTGCATTTCGAACCTACAGAGAATTAAAAGTTTCTCAGGCATGAATAACCAAGGCTGCAAAATAACTCTCGTTATGCCATAATAGCTATAATTTACTTACATCAAGAATCTGAAGATTCTCATTTTCTTGCTTAACAAGAAGCTTTTCATTGAATTGTTCTATGAAGTCAACCTTCTTATTTCGATGAAGTAGATGGTTGAAGGCTTTGAGAACTGTGCCATCTTCTATTGATAGAATCTTCAGTGGAACATGGCTACTAGCTCTATTGAAAATCAACAGCATGATGCCTGGACTGTTACAAACAATAGAAATGATGGGGTAAGTTGAATACAGAAGAATCATTGAGGACTTGAGCATAAATATTAGTTTGTGTGAGACATAGACAGCAAACTATGGATAGCAAGCAAACTGTTTCAACGAGAGATTGGGGGGAAGAAGAGGGAGAGATACCTGATCTTGATTTCTTGTACATGTTTGTCTGATATAGAGTAAAGCATGGTATAGTTCTTAAGGTCAAACACCTTGTATATACTGGTTCAATACCCCCAAAAAAGGGAAATCTGTTAGTATCTTAATGGATTTGATAATCATATATTAGAAATGCTACAAAACGAAATATACCTGTCTTGTGCAGAGTATGTTAGCACCTTGCCATTAACATCATCAAACTCTACAAACCCAGGCCACTTTAAAGACTCAGACTCGAAAAGAGCAAATCCAGCATCTGGCTGGCCCCTCCTTATATACCTAGTCAATGAATAGACAATAAGAAATAGATAACCTATGAAGCTAAACATAAATGTGAAGTAAGATCTACCCACTCAATCCTTGTGGATCTGCATTTCAAAGAGCTGAAGTTGTCTGAGGCATAGACCGAAACTGTGATGAGCGAATCGTTATTCTTATTATAGAACAAGCTCCGAATGACTTCATCAGGGCTTACATTCAAGAAACATATCCTCTCGTTTTTCTCTGCAATATGAATAGCCAACAGAGAATAGGTAACAATGCAGGCATGATGAAGGCTTTTTTCTATTTTGTTTAATCAACTGGTTTACAAGGTTCTCCCCAAGATTGGGTCTTAATGGGTTGGTTGGGTCCAGATTTTGGATTTTCTCAAAATGATAAAACTGTATTCAGTCTTGTTTCTACTTTTCTAGTCATTTTAAATCCGATTTTTACAAATCGTATCTTCTGTCATTAATTGTGTATCTCCTCCTTCAATTTCTGTGATTTATCATTCCTGAAAAATGATTGACTAACCTAACCTACTGCAATATTTGCTACCTTGGGAAAATATATACAGAACACAAAGTTATGCATTTGGTAAGATATTTATTTCAGTTAGGAATGTTATTACCTCTGCTAAAAGCTGCGCAAACACCTGAGTGTGCAAGAGCAAATACGATGTCACGTGCAGCAACTATCTCAATAACCCTTGTCCTCTTCATCAGAAAGGACAATATGGGGGAAGAATGCCCCTTGGGATCATGAGTATCATATTCCTCCTGAATCAGAAATGAACTAATTAGATATTAAAAAAAGAAACACAGCCATTGATAATCCCCCTTGTTATGTTTGACAGATACAGCTAATGCTAATCATGAATGTCAGCTTTACAGTTTCAACAATAAAAGAAAAACTGTTGGGTCATAACTTGAGCTTCTTAATGCTCCGTAATATGTGGAGTAGACAATTAATGAATTCTCGTTCTCATTGGCAAGTTCTCACAGGGGAAAGTTTAGTAAGAAATTAATATGATCACAAGGTTTAACCCAAGGCCAGCTTCACCAGAATCTAAACACACAAACCCAAGGCAATGAAGAAGTATATAAACCAAGGTGATAACTATGACTCAGGTTGGAAACAGCAGATCAACACATCTCTCAAATGAAAACATCTGCCCACGATCAGGGTTCTCAATTCCAGAAAAAAAACATTGTCAGTAAAGAATTCAAATTTTAATTATTTTAATTTTCTTATAAGAATTCTTCTAAGTTGTAGCCCCAGCCAAATAGTTCAAATGTTATATGCACTGCCAAAAAACAGAAAGAAAAAAAAAAAAAACTAATCAACATGAATTTAGTAAATTTATGATATGCAATGAGAACCGCATGCTTCCAAAACCTAGAAAGTGATTTGAGATTGAAAAATTGAAATTGCATTGGATACATACGAGCTATGAAAAACTGAGGTCGAGCAATTGAACATCAGTAGAAATACAACAAAAATGAAAACCAGACCTTGAGATGCATGTTACGAAATCTCTCCTGGGCATTGCTGAGGCCAAAAACTCGATCACGCTTTGAAGAAATCTCACGCCTCTGAAGCTTCTTCACGCTGTTTACAATCCCATCCGAGCGAGCCCTCTTCTTCTTCGCCAATATTCTGCGACCCGAGCATGGCCGAGGACTCGCCGATATCCTCCTTCCCACTTCCATTCTCAACTCTCAGATTCTGATTTCATACAAACGCATATCGCATATATGTATCGCATATATGTATATATATTTGAAATTATACCAGTATATGCGTTTGTGATGGTTTCTATTAGATTAAATGGAACCCTTTCGGATCACAACAAGCCCCCCAGAACCCTAATCTTCAGAAATTTGGTTCTCTGGAGAGCGCTGGTGGGTGTTTGTGAGGGGTTGAAATTGGGAGAGGAAGGAGAAAAAGAACGTCCCTTGAAAAAGTGTCAGAGCCAGCAATGGGGAGGATAGACAGAGACAGATATATATATATATATATATGAAATTCAGAATAAAATAAGCATTAAGAAATAAACAGGTGAAAATGTAGGCATGTTATTTCAGATATGCGTAATTAATTAATTTCTATTTTCAGTTTTTACGAAATTTTGAACATGGCCCGCCAATCTGCCAATCCGCCAAATGTAAAATTCCACTTTCATTCTTTTCCTCCATTTTGTTGTTTATTATTCTCACATTATCACATACCAGCAAGGAAGTATTTTTATTTTTATTTTTTTCTACAAGTTGTTTATTATAAATTAAGACGTATTATATCATATTCCAGAAAGTGTTTGATATGAATGTAGGACAAAATGTCTTCTAGCCTATAAGAAGAGTTGGGTAAGGAAGTAGTTTCTAAGTTTCGTGTTCGATGTGACGTACACGAATCGGAAAGCTCTTAATTTAGTGGTACTTCTCTAAGTTCTTTTCTCACATTTACGTTTTAATTTTCGTTAGCGGGCAAAACTGAAATAAAATAGACAATCGGATTGCTAACCAAATTTGGAGGCTAAATTGCAACATCATATAAGTACCAAATCAATATATTAAAATCACTACATTCTACATCTTGGCTTGAGTTTGAATTCAAACTCCATCCAACACATGAACTAATTCGGCAGCAGAGCCTATGGCAGAAGCCCCACCTCTTTCAAGAAGAGAAAGGGCCAGCTCACATTCATGCCACCCTCTCAATCCACCGGCTAATTTACTCAACGTCTCCACCTTCACTTCCTGAATCCACGCCGGAGCAAAGTTCACCATTAAGCCCACCAAACAAGAAACATAAACTTTCCAAGTTGCAGGATCACAGCCAAGTGATATGTTTCCCTCCAACACCCCTGCCAGAAAATCCATGTGGCTCCCAACAATCCTGGCCCTTCTTGAGAGTGTCCATGATGGCAAGTTGTCTCCAATGCCCCATTCAATGGAACCTGACAGGATCACCAGATATGCCATTGCATACCCCTCCATTACGCGAGACACATCGTTCGCCTCCCCGAGCTTCTCTTCCTTTGATGAGAGTAACCAGGTTGGGATTGTTTCCCTGAACAGTTCTTGAACCAGCTGAACTCCGCCTGCCACACACAAGAGGCTTGCACCAAGTGAGGCTACCTCCTTTGCCTTTGCAATGGCTAGGGACAGTGATGTTTGGCTAGACTTCAAGGGAGGGGAATCTGTGCTTGCACATCTCTCGGCTAGTTTTGCAGCATACTCTGCTACAAGTCCTACGATCACATCATTCACGTGCTGGACAACGTGTATTGTCCGACAAGAACGCAGGTATAGAAATCCAGGTGCTACGGAAGGACGAGCACCGATGTCTGCAATGGTGAAGCCCAACAAACCATTCACACTGCTTTGACTGGACAATGAAGAGGTTGAAGCATGAAGCGATCCAAGGAATGAGGAGAAGCAACTTCTCAGAAGCTGCGCAACAGCATCTTTGTTCTGTCTAAATACAGAGCGAGAACATGATACAACAATGAAGTGATGCCAGCGGCGGACCTTTTGAGCCCACAAACAGCCTACAATAGGCATGCTAGGCCAAGGACAACCTGATGCACAGTTCTCCAAGGCCAGTCCAGCAACAGCATGTATGTATTCGAGGCTCTTCTCGAGTTTAAAAGTAATGGTTAAACTCACAAGAGCAGCCAGTGGAAGTGGAAGCATTACAGTTGAAATCCCTGCAAGGCATTGAAAAGGTTTTAGCAATGGAAACTCAGAAGACATTCTAAAGTTAGTATGACAGTACGTAAATTGAACCAATCATTGTCAATCTCTGTGAGTCTGTTTGTGTGTGAGGGGCTACAGCACCAGAATAGGATAATCAGAACAAACCCTACGAACAATACAAAAATAAGAGGAGTTAAATTACCACAGCTTGGAACATTGACACCAACAGCATTGAGTATTTCTTTTATTTCAGATTCAACTGATTGAAGAATCGCTGCTGGACTAGGCCAATCTATTCCATTCATAGCCACTTGTTTCCAAATACCACGGGTAACTTCTGCAGAGAAGTAACTAATAATGGCAGCAAGGGAAGCAGGAAGAAACTCAACAAGGTCTCTCAGCCCTGCAAGCATTTAAGGGCTCATAAGAAGGACTTTCATGAATAAAATCTTAAAATATCACTAAACACACTAATTTTTGTTTGAAGTGTCAAGAGAGTTACACATTCATGAGCTGATGAAAGAAACAGAAGAAATTACAAACAAAAAAGAAAAAGAAAAAAACCACATAATGAACCTGGATTAACAAGTGCAGTAATCCAACTAACCTGTTGTCAGGTCCCGGGATGAAAGCCTGCCATAGGCACAAGCAGTTAAAATAGCCTCAAGAACAAAAGGAATGGCTTCCAGTATCTCCCAAGCAGGAAGCATTGGTCTCTGACACATGTCCTCTCCAGTATCTGCAGGGGAGCCACTAATGCTGGTGCTTGATGGTCCAGAAGAGTTACTTGATGGGTCCCCAGTTCTAGTTATTTTCCAGTAAATCATACTTAATATTTTATTAGCAACTTCATGAACAGGATTTCCACTAGAGAGACCAGAAAGTGTTGAAGCTATACAAGACTTGTTTTGACAATACCAGGCTTGTAATTTCGGATAAGAATCAATGCACATAGGTTCTCGAGATGCTGATTCAAGCTGATCCCCGCTGCTGTTTGTTTCATTTCGGGCAGGTGCAGTGTGGCCATTGCGCAATAACAAAAGATACTCCAAAGTCAGCACTCCTCCAACTGCCCCTCCTCTCTCCGTAATGTATTGCTCAAGAGGTGGTCTATAGAATTTCCATAGACGAAGAAGAAAAAGAAATGCTAAAGAAAAAACCATGTAAACGGAGGACTCATCACCAATGCTTGATTTGTTACTTGATGTAGGCTTAAGTGATCCAAAGACCTCACAAAGCGTAATTAAAGAAGCTGCAACTTCTGGGACCTGTAGGCATAAGAATGTCCGAACTTCAACTTCTTATGACTTAGTTGAATCAATAGGAAGGCATTCTAAGCTCAAATTATTTTATGATACCAATAGAGATGGCATGAGATTTCTTCACTCACCATACCATGCAAAGAAAGTATATGAACTGTATCAACAGAGGAAGTTCCAAAAAGGAGAGCACTCAACATTGACATATAATCAATTAAGTGACTTCTTGATCCACTATAATTGGGAGGTACAGGAGGAGAAAGAAGCTTGACCACAAAGTGCACCACATGTTCCTGAAAACAACAAAGTCAGAAATCAAAATTTAATTTTCTTAACAGCCATAACATTGTTAACATTTAGAACTTGAAGAGTGACATGAGGATAAAAGACACCATTAGGCTATAATAGATATAATAGGACTCGAAACATAGCCAAATGTAAATTTTTTTGTGTAATTGCATGATTGTTCAACCTGAATGTTCCATCCACTTTTGAGAGATGCACCACATAGGATCTTTGCTGCGGCGGACTTCTCCTCCTCAGACCCAGTCAATGCAATATGATATAACTTCTCTACCTCTGCTAAACTTGAGCAGCAGAATAAAGGAGAAACTAATCAGCAAAAGATCAGCACGCATTACAATTATATTCAGATATTTTTCATTATACCTTGAAACTGGGGTCCTGATAAGGGATTTTATTAGGGCATCCCTCAATGGTGCCCCTTCCATGAAAGTTGACCAAAGAGATTTTTGTACTGGTGATGTATCTGACGGTGAGATCGTGGATGCAGACACATAACCGGGCCAAAAATATGCTGATGTGTCGATTAAGTTTCTTGCAATGCAAGCTTCCACGATAAGGTGCCTCATGTCACCGCCTGAAAAACATACGACTCATTTGCAAAATTATTACAGAAAGCACCAAACCAAAGTTACAGACAGCAAACAAGATCCGTGTGTACACTTTTTCTTCAATAAGAGATTCATGCCTAAAATACATATGCATTAACCACTGATCGATTCAAAATCTGAGGTGAGATTAAAAGCGGACTACAAATTTCCAAGATAAACCTGATTTTATACTGGTATCACCATCACTGCCTCCACCTGATGCATCCTTTTCATTCTTGGAATTAAGTATAAAGCGAGCTGCTTTTGTTGCGGCAATATTAGATGAATCAACGACTGATGAAGGAGGGCATAAAAGGCCAGAGAAGTTTCCAAGGACCTGTAGAGAAGAAATCAGTCCCTGCTTCCTTGAAATATTAGCTTTGCCATCCATTTCGTCTCCATATCCACTCTCCATATTCCCAGACACTGTATCTCCCTCAATAGAAGAGGAATTCACTTTGATCTTATCCTCCAAAACATTAGCAATGGCCAAGGGGACAATAGACAAAAGGACACAAAGACGGGCCTCAAGATGTGGTATAGGGCCTTCAAGAGGATCACGTTCCTGCAAATGAAGAATGAAGGAGAAGGTAACTATCTATCTTCATTTTCTTTTCTGTTACAAGATATGCTAACATGGAGAAGTCTCAACTCGTTGCACAAGTCGAAGGGCTGACAGCCAGAGTTCTAGGAAGGTTTCTTGCCAGCTTGCCTGGTTAAATACTTGGAGCGTCAAAATTCCTTCTGCAGTTAGGTCGGTGGAATTAGGAATTAATTGAATTTCTTGCAGTTTTCTTTAAAAAAATTCTATTAAAATGAATCTAAAGGCATACAGGCATACAGGCATGCATACATTTTACATACATATAATTACAGAAATTATATCAGATATGAATTCATATGAGACTCTTCAAAGGGACTTTACCTGCAAGTATATCAACAAATGATTTAATAGAAAGTTGCTTGCCATCCATTGCATTCTCCATGTATATATCAAAACGGACCCAACAAGTGGAGTGACCAAATCCAGAATTGCAGTGAAACACTGGCTTCCGAGAACCAATATCAAGAAGCACACCAACGAGCCGGTGCTTATTTAACTGGTATTTGAAACCCAAGACACTATGGATGTTGGCAGACAATCTTGCCAATAGTTGCAACGCAGAATTCAAATCTGAGGATACCAATTGACGGCCTTCGAGAAACCGTAGCCTCTGCAGGAGGCCATTGAATCTTTCAGGCCTATGAATAAAAGAGGATTAAACAGAAAATTTATTATTAGTCTCCTAACACTCAACAGGCATCCTTTTTCATATAAATAATTTTTATGTGCACTGACAGAGCAATATGTAAGAATTTTTTTGAATATCATGCGTTGCCAAAATTGCACGGTTGGATTCTTAATACATCTACAAATTGAAGGTGACAAATATTAAGAATGAGAGGCATACATGTTCAAATGAACAAGTCGAAGGAGAACCAAAGATTTTCTGCTTTCTGTTAGTTTCGCCAGCACCTCTATGGCCAAAAGAGAATTCCTTTTCCTTATCCGTTCATGATGTTCTTTAACTTTGAGATTTTTACTTTCCATGGAATCAATTTCCATATCATTGTCTGAACCTCCAAAAGCTGATCTCGGTCTCTTTCGAGATGTCATCTTGAATCCCCAATCATCCAATGTGCTATCAATCAAGCTAATGATTACACTGAAAAAGAACAGGACGAATGCATGTCCAAGCTCGACAACATGAACCTTAAATGTCTGAGAAAGTTGAAGGGCAGCATCAATCGATTCTGTTATCCTGCAAGATAGAAAAAAGCAAAATTTCAGCAGTTCATTCAATTGATAGATACAAAAATCATGCTAGCAATGCCTGCATCCCTTTTGCAAGCATTTCGACCCATGTTAATTGAAACCAAATTAAACCATCTAAACCAAGATGGAAAACTTTCTACCAAGTTTGAAAACCTGAAATAAAATAAGACAAACCCATGATAAATACCCAAACAGAATGGTAACAGAGATTATGCTTACACCAAATAATTCATATAGCACGACATAAAGGTAATGAATTCAATGATAGCAAATCAAAATAGAGCAGAAAATGAGATTTGGCACACTCACTTTTCTTTGGAAGCATCACCAGCAAGTGGACCAAATGAAAACGCATATCTTCTTAGGAGTTCAAGATAGAGTCTATAAGCTTCTGGCTGAGCCCGTCTATGAGGAACCACCCTGCAAAGCAATCTCCAATCAACAAAACCATGACAAGGCCAATGTGAGAGCTGAGAGTTGAAGGGAAATGATGGGTACCTGGAAGACAAAATGGAGAGGACATGGAGAGGGCAGAGGATGCCTGAGGAGAGAGCATGATCTATAAACTTCCAAAGGGAAGGCCGGTTGTGTTGGAAACAGAGTTGGGAAACCAACACCTCCCCCAACTCAATGCTTGGAACTGCCTCAACAAAGTTGCCCACTTCCATGGCCCAAACCACTGGGCCCTCCTTCTGCTTCGCCGTCACCAGCTCCACCACCCGCCGCTCCAGTTCACTCCCCATTACCATTCCCATGGACCCCATCTTCTTCAATATCTAAACTTTTATTATTTATTTTCTAAAATAATAAATAAATACAAGTAAACCCATAGAAATTGGCCATAGTAGATGTGCTTGTTTTCCCTATCCTACAGTCCTAGTACAGTCTACAGCTTCACACAATATAAATGTGTACTTCTGTTTTGTGAAGATTGTTAGGTAATAAAATATTGTCTTTTTATTATGAAATATTGAATGTTGGAGCACCTAACACACCCCACGCCTACTCTCTTCCATGCATTCATTCAATTTTTTATGCCCAATTTCCAAACCAAAATTATCCATATTTCTTACCATTCAAGTCAACATCCGCACTGCCTTGTGCAGCGTTGTTCAGTAAAATGGCCCACCTAGGCGCTGCTGCGGCCTACGGCCTTGTAAGTTTCAACCTACCACCATTAAAGCAACATCAAGGCTTGCCCAACTACAAAAGCAGAGGCTTTGATATAGTCATCTAAGAGATGGGTTCATCGGATAATCAGAGAAAAACAAAAGGGTCGCTCTCCTTATCAAATAACGGCTGCAATTTGTGTTTTCGTCATGTCCTGCAATTTATGCTATGTGTCAGTTGATGTGGTGTTGTGTGTGTGTGTGTGCGCGCATGTTTGACCGGGGGGTTTGGTCTTTGGTTTGGTTTGGTGTCAAGAACTTGAGAAAAAGCAAAGCCCATAAGCCCAAAACGTTTATTATAACATGCACACCCAATTGCCCAGAAGCCCAAAATATGCAACAATTCGCTAGCTCAATCCGCCGTTGCAGACTTCTCTTCTGAAAATTACGTGTTTTGTATGTATTGTCTCCCAAAAGCTTTTTGTTCACGCTACTCATTTTATTGTCGTATTAATTGTTTTCTCTTTTTTAGTGCATGGTAGTGTATCCAAACGAGTGCCGAGCCTCGAACTTTAAGACATGATGACCTATCATGAAATTACCAAATTAAAGAACAATGACTTATTGTCTGTATTCATTGAGAATATATATTTCTTGTCTTTGCTCATTTTCAACAGTGAATTAATAAATCCCGTCAAATTTTGTGGTTTGCGATCGTAGTCCATTTAATCCTCTTATCTTTTGATTTTGAAATATGAGTGTATCAAATTAAAGCTATAAACCTATTGCTATAAACAATGACAAAACTAAAGCTACTACTAGTGTAGTGGATCCATCGAGCCATCAACTCATCAAGGCATCAACCATTACTGAATTTGCGTGTTTCAATTGCTCCACCGTCCATTCTTAGGGTTTCTAATCTAAGTTGCTTTAACTTGATTCAGAACCAAGGTTTGAAGTTTGAACGTGCAGGAGCCCACCATTGCATGATTGCATCTGCCTTCCTCTCGTCATTAAGATCCAGACGGCCTAACCACACACACTTAAGACACTAAATTCATTTAATCACTATCATCCCTTACTTACAAGTTATACCTAACCTAAGTAGTAAGAGTAAACATAAAAAGATTTTGAATAAATATCTCCTACACAATCCTCAAAACTTTTTATATTTCATTTCCCTTTTCCCACGGCATCATACTTGCGTGTGAGAAATTCCCCTCCTTCAAGTTTAGACTATCACTTTCATGCACTTTGAGCTCAACGAAAGTCATTGTAAATTTTATTAAATTAAAATCACTTTCTTTCCATGATTTTATTTCTTCATCCCCTTTCAAATAATCATCATTCTAATCTTAGAAATATATTATATTATATTTATAAGACTAGGCTAGGTGGCTCTACAAAGGGTCCCCAAAAGCCCCCATTGACACGTTTTGGAGCTACTGTGAGGGTCAACTCAAACCGCCAATTGGTCAGCTCACGACTGAAGCATCCTCGCTGCAACACCAAAAGCTTCCATCTTTCTATATATATATTGGCAATCCAGAATCTTTTCGATTCAAAAACTTGTCACAATAAATCTCTTTGGGGTTTCATACTTTCATTAGTGAGATGGAAGTGGCGTCTTCATCAAAGGAAAAGGAAAGATCATTGAAAGCCGCGGGCAGCGGCGGCGGAGATCCTCGCCGCCAAACTCGGAAGTGCAGAAACATCTGCCTGGCGGTGACAGCTGTAGTTCTGGTCGCAACAGTTGTACTCGTGATCCTCTGCTTGACAGTGTTCAAAGCCAAGGAGCCCGAAACGACAATCAATTCCGTCGTTTTGAAAGACCTCGACGTGGCGCTCAACATTCCCAGACTCAGCGTGGACGTGAACTTTACGCTGGACGTGGATCTATCCGTGAAGAACCCGAACAAAGTGGGCTTCAAGTACAAAAAGGGCAACGCTTTGTTGAACTACAGAGGGGAGCTGGTGGCCCAGGCCCTAATCGGGTCGGGCGAGATACCGGCGGACCGGACCAAGCCCATGAACGTGACGCTGACCATTTTGGCAGACCGGTTCCTGGGAAAATCGGAGCTCTTTTCAGACGTGGTGGCCGGTACGTTGCCTTTGACCACTTTGACCAAAATATGGGGCAAAGCTATCATTTTGGGAATTTTCAAGGTTCATGTGATCGCTACCTCCTCCTGCGATTTCAGTATCAATGTGAGTAATAAGACAGTCGGGGAGCAGAAGTGCACACAGAAGACAAAGTTGTGATCTTTTTTGTTCTTGGCTCTGGGATTTCTTATTTTCTGGATTTGCATATGCTTTGTCTGCTTGTGGGAGGTGAATTGACAGAATTGCCACTCACTGGTGACTGACTACTAGCCCCCATGCTGTGATGGGGTGACATATTTTGGTATGTTTAGTGCACTTGTTAAATATAAAGTTTCTTCCTTTTTAATATGATTTTCAAATTTGAATTACTTGTAGACATCATTGATGTTGAGTTGTTTCTATCACCTTGTATTTAATAATGTTATATTACGAAATAGTTTATCGTATTATGTTACGTTGTCATACTATTAATTGAATTAGAATGTTGATATTTCTAAATAAAATATTAGTTTCCAGACTAGTGTTGTGAAAGAGTGTTCTGTAGAACATTTGAAAAACAATTGGTTCTATCATTTTCAGTTGGATTTTCTGCTGATGGTACTGGTCAAACATTTTATCAATATTTCATCTATCCAAAAACCTATCTGCCATTCCTGTAATTTCTTCATGCTATGATAATTTGCTCAAACTTTGACCAAATTCTGAAGAACCAAGTGTGTGAAAGAATGAGACAATTTGCGCGCAAAATACTGGTGAGAGTTGTGTACCAGTTTATTATATTACTTTCCAAGTCTTCCTGCAAAGTACGAATCTATGTCCCAATTTGCTGTGTCTCTGTCCCTATCTGCATTGTGCTTCCCTTGAAGCGGGGAGTAAATTTCTTTAAGCATGCTGATACAAGATATAATTAAGCATGCTGTGATCGAGATACGGTTCGATTTGGGCAACTTAATGACAAAGAAAGGAAAGGACACGCAGAAGTTAATTAAGGAAGAGACATGCCAGGCAAATGGGGCTATAAAAGATGTTCAAAGCATTGTATGCAAGCACACCATAGCCGCTGCAAAACACAGAAAGAACAAATCGCCTGGTGTTGTGTTGGAGAAGTATAACAACGGAGGAAATGAGGGTGGAAGGGATCATGAAGAAACTAGGAAAGCCTGTACCCCTCATTGCTGTCGGGGTTCTTGTGATCACAGCATTCATAATAACGGTGATCCTATCGGTTGCAGTTTGCAGAGGAAAGGACCCCATAACCATGGTGGATGGGGTGGTCTTAAGGGACCTGCACATTTCTCACAAAGTGCCTAAACTCACTGTAGATTTGAATATCTCTGTGAAGAACCCCAACAAGGAGGCCTTCAGGCCCACCAAAGGCACTGCACTCTTGGTCTATAGGGGTGTGCCGATGGGCGAGGCCGTTATAGACACAGGAGAGATAGCCGCCGGCGCCACTATATCCATTACTGTCACGCTCTCCATTATGCCTGAGCGTTTGCAGGGGAATCCCGAGATTTATATGGAGGTGAAGGCGGGTATGGTGCCCTTCAACACTTATACCAAAATCTTCGGCAAAGTGAAGGTTTTCAACATGGTTAAGGTCAATGTGATCTCCACCGGCTTATGCGGTTTTGCTGTCGATGTCAAGAGAAAGACTGTTGGGGAGCCCAAGTGTTCATAGAACTCTAACTAATAATTATTTTTCTTGCTCTGTGGGGTTACATGTTTAGTGCTCTAATTTCTCAAGTTTTTTTTTCTTTTTATATGATTCAGAATTGGTTGTAATAATTAGGTTGTTTCTACCTTCTACGTATCTGATAATGTTGCATTCTGGATTTGTTAATTTGTCCCTTTTTACAGAAAATAAGATTATATTTTTCACTCTAGTCTCTGCATTTTCACATCAAACACAACTTTTGCTCTTCCCTTCAATTTGGGCTTAAAATCCCCATATGCATGTTGCAGAATTCAAGATATGTTGGATTTCAATAATTTAAAAGCAAATGAGGGACGAAGGACATGCAGAAGTTAAGGTAGACATACAAATCAAACCGGATAAATCCTTTGATCTCCCGTGCAATCATAGAGTCCGTGTAAAATGCCACCGATGCACTGCTGCTTCATCGTGTTCCCTGAAGGAATGCTTTGGACACCTGCGGAACATATTGGCTCTGAATCCTCAAGAACCAGATGAGGAGTTCTTGTTGTCTGCAATGGAAGCAGATTTTAAATGTACATGTACAGAGGAGGAGCACTCGAAAGGTGCAGAAAATCTGACCGTTGAAGATCAGACAATGGGGCTACTCAGTCTTGAATGGTGCTTAGAGATGGAACCTTCTAAAATTCACTTGAAAGACTGGACTGTGTGACTAAAATTTTCAGCATCTTGAATAACTTGATATTGAGCTGTTTATATAACCTTTTGTATCTAATACTGTTATATCGTCGTTTGTTATGTTGTCATACTATCAATTAGATCTATAAAACATTGATATTATTTTTGAAATAAATGTTAATTTCGAGACTACTCTTGTGAACGAGTATTCTGACAGAGAAATACAGTTGTTTATCTTGCAAACCTTGAAGATCAAATAATTGAAGCAGAAATACACTAAGACTTCTCAACGATACTACTTTTGTGGAAGTTGGCCTGTATATTTTCAATCAATGTTCTGGATACTCAGTTGATATATACTTCAATTTAAGAAGAAACAAAGCTCTTGTCATTTTCAGTTTGACTAAATTCTGAAAAGAACCAAGTGCGTGAAAGAATGAGACAGTTTTAGAACCAGTGTATTTTAATTTGAAAGTCTTCCTGCAAATTACAAATCTATGTCCAAATTTGCTCTGTCTCCCTTCTCTGTTTGGAGACTTAAAACAAACATATTTTTGGGGTTAACAGCATATAGCGCATGGCATGCATTTGTTGCTTTCCATAGCAAATAAGATCACAATTTTTCCCTCTCTGCATTATGCTTCCCTTCAAGCTGGGCCTTAAACTTGTTTAAGCATGCTGGTACACGATATAAATTTTAAGCACGCTGTAATCAAGATACGGTTCGATTTGAGCAACTTAATGACAAAGAAAGAAAGGGCATGCATAAGTTAATTAAGGAAGAGGGCAAATTTGAGGCTATAAAAGATGTTCAGAGCATGGTATGCAAGTACACCATAGCCGCTGCAAAACACAGCAAGAACAAATCGCCTGGTATATTGTGTTGGAGAAGTTAAACAATTGAAGAAACGAGGGGGGAAAGTGTCATGAAGAAACTAGGAGAAAAGCCCCAATACATCGCCATGGCGATGGCCGTGGGTCTTTTGATTTCAGTAGCACTTATAATGGGGATCCTATCGTTGACAGTGTACAGAGGAAAGGACCCCATAACCATGCTGAATGGAGTGGTCTTAAGGGACTTGCAAATTTCTCAGGATGTGCCTAAACTCACTGTGGATTTGAATCTCTCTGTGAAGAACCCCAGCAAGTATGCCTTCAGGCCCACCAAAAGCACTGCATTCTTGCTCTATAGGGGTGTTATGGTCGGCGAGGCGGTCATAGAAGTCGGGGAGATAGCCCCCGGCGCCACTAAATCCATGACCGTCACGCTCACCATTTTGGCTGAGCCTATGCAGGGGAACCCCGCCATTCATATGGACGTGGCGCGGGGTATGGTGCCCTTCAACACTTACACCAAAATCTCCGGCAAAGTGAAGGTTTTCCGCATGGTTGGTGTCACTGTGATCTCCACTGGCTTATGTGGTTTCAATATCGATGTCAAGAGCAAGACTATTGGGGACCCCAAGTGCGCATAGAGCAACTTATGATCTTTTCTTGGTCTATAGGGTTAAATAAATCTTTTAATTAGCCTGTCACATACATGTTTGGTGCTAATTTCTCAGGTCCTTTTTCTTTTGATATGATTTGGAATTAGTTGTAGTATTGAGTATCTAAAAAAGTTAAATATTTTTCACTCTAGTCTCTGCATTTCCACATCAAACACAACTTTTACGCTTCCCTTCAATTTCGGCTTAAAATTCTTTAAGCATGCTTGAATAATTTAAGATACAGTTGGATTGAATAATTTAATAGCAAATTAGGGAGGAAGGGCATGCAGAAGTTAAGGAAGACATGCGAGGTAAATGAGAGAAATTAAGCATTTAAAGCTGCCTTCTTCAACAAGGAAGTAATTAAAAAAAAGATGGTCCGCTTCACAGTCATCTGCCCGGCAGTGGCTTCTGTTCTTATGCTCATATCGATTATACTGCTGCTCCTATCCATGACAGTGTACAAGAAAATCACCCCCATAACCACAGTGGACGCCGTGGCCTTAAGACACATCGACATGTCACGTAACGTGCCCGAAATCAATATGGATGTGAACATGTCTGTGATGAACCCCAATGGTGTGACCTTCAAGTGCACCCACAGCACAGTGCTCTTGGTTTACAGGGGTGTGGTGGTGGGTGAGGCTCTTATAGAAGCAGGAGTGATATCAAAGGCTGCCACCAAAACCGCAAATGTAATGCTCGCTAGTAATTTAGCTGATCGTTTGCAGGGAGAATCGGAGCTGATTATGATTCATTCGGACATGTTGGCTGGTACATTGCCCTTCAACATTCAAATCAAATTCTCTGGCAGATTGTTTTCTCTTCTCAAAATCTTCAAGTTTCATGCCGACGCGGTCTCTACCAGCTCATGCCAATTTGATATCAATGTTTGTAGCAAGACTGTTTGAGAGAAGCATTGCACAAATGAATAAAGATTCTGAATTTTTTTTGTCTTTTAGGCATTGGTATTGTTTCTTTGCTGCTTAACCAAGTTACAAAGGAAACAAAATTCTATCACCAAAAAGAAACAAAAAGTAAAAGTATCCCATTCCAAACCAACGCCCCAAAGTAACGCCAAACTTGTGTCATATGGCAATTTTCATACGCAACAAAGTTTTATTAGATTGGTTTCGATTTTGGTTTTTTGAATTGTGGTGTTTTCTGAGTTTAGAATTTAAGACTCATCGAAGCTCCCAAAAGTCCACATTGCTTAGGTGTCCTTCCCCAAAAGTCTTACTTCTCTTACGTGCTCTCTCTCCGCACTGCACACATGCATATTGTGCAGTGTGCATGTTGTCGTTTTTCAAACCAAACAATGAGACCATACTATTTCCACCCTCGTTGATTGGCACATCAACCGGCCACAATCTTTACCCTTCTCTTTAAACCCGCCTTCAAATTATTTGAGCTTG